GGCTGGCAGGGGAAGGTGCCTGTGCCCTCCTGGCCCTGGTGACCCAGGGCCCCTGTGCTGTCCCTCGCTGGGCCCTGCGGCTCAGAGCCTTGGGTCCCTTGGGCCTCTTGCTGTTGCCTCAGCCCTGCCTCTGCTGAGCACGCTGAGGTCAGCTCTGTCCAATAGCCACCGGAGCCGCTGTGAGGATCTCTGTCTCCCTGCCCTCCTCCTGTGTGGAGGTAGGGGGCAGCTGGGAGTAGTAGCTCTTCCCAGGCATCCAAAGGTCATCAGATTGGGGCTGGAATATTTACTATGGTGGGGGCTGGTGCTGTCAGGGGCGTCCCCTGTGGTGGGGAGAGCGCTTTCTGGCCACCTGAGCCAGATCCAAAGGTCTTTGGGCAGTGCTCTGCTCTCGTGGTGGGGAAGGTTCCTGGGAGCCGTGGGGCCCACCTGGGCCCAGAGGCTGTTTTTTGCCCTGCCAAGAAGTTGTTCTGGGCCCCCTTTGTGACTAAGTGTGGGCAGAACTCCCACTGTGGGAGCTGAGCCAGCACTGGTGTGGGTGCCTGCAGAATAACCCAGATCGAAGGAAGAGTCACTGCCCCAGCTCAGGGCTGGGCTGGGGTGAGGGTCCTGACTCCCCACCAACTGCCCTGAGAGGAAGCCCTATTTTATTTTATTTTATTTTTTTCCTTAGAAAATCATTGGTGTCTTCAAGCCCAAAAACGAGGAGCCGTACGGGCAGCTGAACCCCAAGTGGACCAAGTGGCTGCAGAAGTTGTGCTGCCCGTGCTGCTTCGGAAGAGACTGCCTCGTGCTCAACCAGGGCTACCTGTCGGAGGCAGGTGCCAGCCTCGTGGACCAGAAACTGGAACTCAGCATCGTTCCTCGCACAAAGGTGAGGGGACTGCTGCGAGGTGCCTCTTCCGGGCTTGCTTTTATGCTGCCCTGCTGCACTTGAGCCTTGTCTTGTGGCACTCTTAACCTTGGAGATCTTGTGTTGAGATCCTGATCTGTGACTGCTCCTGCTCTGGGCCCTGTGGGGAGCCTGCTGCTGAGCAGAGCTGTGCAAAGGGCTGTGTCTTCGTTTTATCAGTGAGGCCTTGGTGCACTGGTGTCTCCTCAGGTGGTGTATCTGGCCAGTGAGACCTTCAACTACAGCGCCATTGACAGAGTGAAGTCTCGAGGGAAGAGGCTGGCCCTGGAGAAGGTGCCAAAAGTTGGCCAGCGCTTCAACCGCATAGGTCTGCCGCCCAAGGTAGAGCTCCCAGGCTGAGCACATGCCTGTTGCTACCTCTCCCTGGGCTGCTGCCCTCTGTGACCCCCTGTCCTTGCTTCAGGTGGGCTCCTTCCAGCTCTTTGTGGAAGGCTACAAGGATGCCGACTACTGGCTGTTGAAGCGGAGCCGCTCCCGGAGAACACCAACCGGCAGCTGCTGCTGCAGTTTGAGAGGCTGGTGGTGTTGGACTACATCATCAGGAACACAGGTAGGGCCAGCTCCTTCACCTCCTGCCCGCTGGAGAGAAGGGATGTGGGCAGGAACTTGGCAGCTCTTCCCGGCACCCAAATCCCTATCAACAGGGTTGCTGCCAAATGGCAGCTCCTCTGGGATGGAGCACAGATGCCGTGGCTGCCCATGAGCAGGGCCATGCTCTGGCTGCTGGCCCCTTTATTCTGGGAGATCTGGAGAGCAGCCTGTGATCCACTCAGATGCTGGGGAGGAGCTTTGCCAGCTTCAAGGGTCTCAGGTCACCCAAGGACTCTGCACAAAGCCCCTGCCTGTGCTGCAGTATTTCAGCTCCTCCTGGGCCTCCTGAGCCCATTCTGGCCTGGAAGGTTGTGGCTGGAGCAGGTGGCCTCCGTGCTCACGTGCCTGGTTCTCTCTCCGTGCAGATCGAGGCAATGACAACTGGCTCATCAAGTACGACTGTCCCCTGGACAGCGCGGGCGTGCGGGTGAGTGAGCTGGAGCTCTGCAGGGCTCATGTGCTGCTTGCCAGCTGCAGCCTGGCAAAGGGGCAGGGCATTTCCCAACCAGCTTGGCATTAGGAGCATGCGGAGGCCTGATGTGGTCTCCTCCGCCCTTTGTGCTGGTGACTTGTGGCCTAGTGAGACTCCATGGGGATGCAGCTGGGGTCTGCGGGGAAAAACTGGTGCTCGTGTGTTGCTGGCTGCAACCACCCCTTGAGGCTGCTCCCCGCCTAAAGGAGACAGCAGCTGCCCTCGCATCCATCCCTGTCTGGGTGGGAGGCTGCCAGGGCCCTGCTAACGGGGTCTAAGAGCCTGGCAGCAGTGCTGCAGGGTACAGGGGAGGGACTGTCCCTGTTGGGGTCTTTCTTGTGACTGTTGTTCCCCTTCTTTCCAGGACAGTGATTGGGTAGTGGTGAAGGAGCCCATCATCAAGCTGGCAGCTATAGACAACGGTTTGGCTTTTCCCCTGAAACACCCGGACTCCTGGAGAGCATGTGAGTCCCTCGAGCTGTGCTGGGGTGCCCTGGGGCGCCACTCAGCTCTGTGCTGCGCGGCCGTGGGGCATGTGGAAGGGCTGGGAAGGGGACATGGCTAGGGCTGCCCTCCACAAATCTTTTGGGTGCTGGGTGCTCCTATAGCAGGGGCTGTAGGAGGGGTGGGTGCTGGGCCTTGGGCCCCAGACACAAGTGATTCAGCACCAGGAGCGTGTGGCACCTTCATCTTGCTGGGCCGTACCTGGCTCTATGTCTTTTATTTCCTTCTGCAGATCCCTTCTACTGGGCATGGCTACCCCAGGCCAAAATTCCCTTTTCACAAGAGATAAAGGACCTGATTCTTCCCAAGATCTCAGACCCCAACTTTGTCAAGGACCTGGAGGAAGACCTGTATGAGCTCTTTAAGGTGAGCTGAGACAGGGTGAGGTTGGCTTGGAAGGAGCAGCAAGGGTGGTGCTGAAGAGCTCCCTCTACAGGCTATGGGGACAAAGAGGTGGCCACGTTCCTTGTAAGGTGTCTGAATTATCTCTCTGCCAAGAGCTGAACATAGAGCATGGGGAGAAGCAGGAAGCCTTTCGGGCAGAAGACAAATTTGTTGGGGAAATGGGCATCTCTTAGAAGGTATATGGCAGAGGGTGGATGCCACTTTTCATTGCTCTTTCTTGCAGAAAGACCCAGGCTTTGACAGGGGACAGTTTCACAAGCAGATTGCTGTCATGAGAGGCCAGGTAAGCCTGTGCGTTAGGGGAGGCAGATGCATGAGACCACGGCGCCTTTTCCTGCTGCTTTGCCCTCTGTCATCCCAGAGAGGCAACTCAGGCTTCCCTCCGTTGTGCAGATCCTGAACCTAACTCAAGCGCTGAAGGATGGGAAGAGCCCCCTGCACCTAGTCCAGATGCCACCCGTGATCGTGGAAACGGCGCGTTCCCACCAGCGCACTGCCAGCGAGTCCTACACACAGAGCTTCCAGAGCCGCAAGCCCTTCTTCTCTTGGTGGTAGCTGGGAGCGGAGGGCAGAGCGCTCGGCCACCTCGGACTAGCGCTACGCGAGGAGCCGGGCGCCTGCCGGCTCCTGTGGCCAGGACGCGCCGTCCTGGGAAGAGCGAGCGGCGGGG